TCTTTTACGTCTAGAAGACCGTTTTTACATTGCTTTATTTAAGTTTGCGGTTCGCTGGTGCTCCGCTCCCAGCTAGCTTTCAAGCTAGAAACAAACAAGCTTAAAGCCAAACTTATCATAAAAGAGATAAATTTGTACACACTGAATATGCCTCTACCACGCAAGCTAATGATTCCATTGCATTCTGTGTGTTTTTTTGTTTGCTTGTTTGTTTTTTTGTTTGTTTGTTTGTTTGTTTGTTTTTGTTCATTTCTTTGCTTGCTTGTTCCTTTTTTTGATCTGTCCCCGCGGTTGGTGTTATCTTTCAGTCATCAGTCACAGTCCCGTCGACAGCAGGGTGCCTCAGTGGGAGGGGGGGCGGTACTCCCCGGCCTTGATAGGGGCTGATATTGTGTGAATGTATAACATACACTAGTGGTTAGGAGGTCACCATATCACCTGCAGGGAAAATTCAATGGCCGTAATCTATACTCGGCTATGACGTTTCTTGGTCCCTATTCTATGCAGACATCAGTGGCATTGCACTTCGCAAGCATGCAGATCACCCAGAAATATGTAGGAACCGTAATGCTAGCACAAAGAAGTCTCTGAGTGTTAGCCTAAAAGCAGTAGATGGTAGACGGGCAGCAGTACCCGGTTCGACGCGTCAATGGTTGTTGTCATTAAAGAACGAATGTAGGTACATGTATTATATGGTTTATAAGAAATGGAAAAAAATCTATTTTCATCGTCTCGTAGCTTTAACATCAAGTTGTACTGAAAGGAAAAAGTAAAACTCCGCCATTATCTGTACTTTTTATGCTAAGGTCTGAAGCCGGGGCCCGGTCGGGCAGTTTGTTGGAACAAAAAGTATTAAATAAGCTAGAGTTCCACGATCTACCAAATCCTACCTACCTACCAAATATCACGTCATTCCATTCAAGCCTTCTCAAGTTATCGTGTTTACACACACACACACACACACACACACACACACAACAAACACACACACACACACACACACACAAACGCCTCTGAAAACATAATCTTCTTGGCGAAGGTAAAGACGGGTAAATACAATCAACATTGAAAGTTTAATCTGCAATTGCCAACACGAGATTGGACTTCACCGCTTCTGTGACGGCATCTTATGAAGATTACACACGTGACTCACTGACCAGTGGATCATAGATTGCAGAAAGCCTGTGTCCAAGATTTTCACTTTGTCTAATGACACCGACTGTCCAGCAGATTCCATATGTATATGTTGTAAAACTTCCTATATTGTTGAGCTGGGACATCTGCGTTGTAGGAACCTAACATTTAGTGATCTTTCGGTCGATCTCTCCTTATATGGGCCTTTCCTTACACTTGCCTTCAGTGTTCTGGCCTTGGCAATGTATGAGGTATATGCCATCGAACTTATTTTCCTTTGGTTATTTGTTCTTGTGTGGCAAGTATACATAAATGCTTCTGGTTGGTCTAAAGCAGGTCGTAATCCCGTGCGTATCACTTAGGCCACGGTAGGCAATTTTATGGATGACATCAGCACGCGCATTGATTTTGATTAAATTTGTTGCCCTCCGGCGGTGGTCAACAAGCCGAAAATGTATTATATGTCATCAGTTCTGTCTCAAACTGCCCTTAATGCCTATTTTTCAAAGTTGTTTCGGTGACTTGAGGAACGCTTGCTCATCTGATTGCTTCCTTCGTACAATATTCTACACTCCACTGGAACAATCTTGACTTGTCAACTCGTTCCTTAAGCTACTCCAAATTTCGTACAGTATTCTTCAAATCAATACGGCCTGCTAAAGTTAAATATTATAGTCACGGTACTCGTTTTCCCGATGCCCTCATGGCACGCCTTCGCAATGACACTTGCAGATGAACTGAAGTATAACCGACACTGTTAACTTTTACCTGTTCCGAATTGTTTATGTGAGGGTAAGCCCTTTGTAATACCCTCCGGCTAGTTGGGCAGTCTTGGCTGTATATATCTGCTTATACAGTCTAATAAATCAAATCAAATCGAACTACAGTCTCTTTACTCCTGGATTACTGAACAGACCGGCTTGTACCTGCGGGTGCCAACGCGAAACTATTTCACATTACCTACTCCACTGCCCCATGTACGATACTCAACGCTCAACCCTCCTTGGCAAACTATCCAGGCTCTTAGGACACACCCTAGATTTTACAACTCTTACAGACAACGCTAAAACATTCCTTCTACTCCGTGGCAGTCCTGTGTACTCAGAACTTTATTACTTCATCAGAACGTTTTTAAAGGTCGTTTTTTTCTCTTGTCATTTGTAATAGTGTCATTTCATTGTTATCATTCAATCATTGGGTGGGGAATGATTTGCGAAAGTGTATGTTTATTTTCTCTATTATATGTATTTGTTTAGTGATGGTGACAAAATAATTTCCCAACTTACGTCGATGAAGGTTAGACATCCAGGTAATACGATACGCCAAAAAACAGTTATTCAAGCAACTGGATATGATTTTGAAAACGTCAGACGTTTCAGCTAGTATCCACTAGCTTTCGTCAGTGACTGAGAGACCAGAGGGGAAAGCAGGTTTATAAGTACAACCTGTTGATTGATATGCAAATAAAGTGAAGACAAATATTTGGAAGTCGAAAAAGGAACAAAAGTCAGACAAGTCAAGACAAAATGATGCAAATTAGTCTGAAAGCTCCTGTTATACAGAACAGGAGCTTAAGTGTTGTCTGTCCTCGGGGCTAGGACAGGGAGCAGTACGACAGGAAGGTACAGGACCTATTGGGAGACAAAGACACCTACACGCCCTTGAAAAAGGACCCCACTAACAAGTTTAAAGGGAAAATCAGTTCAGCTCTCAAGAAATTGCAAACTGAAGGAGTTCTGGATCGCCCCACCTACCTAAAACTCAATCCCACAACGGAACAACCCCCTGCTTTCTACGGCCTTCCCAAAATCCACAAAGTTTCCCTCTACGACCCATAGTCTCCAGTATAGGCTCTGTCACCTATGAGTTAGATTTTGGGACCACTAGTGGGGAAATCTCAGCACCATGTACAGAATAGTGCCGACTTTGTCAACAAAATCAAAGACATTCATGTAGAGGATGATGAAACCATCACTTCGTATGACGTGTGCTCACTTTTCACCTCCATACCACCTAAGGAAGCAGTGTCAGTAGTCAGGGAAGCCTTGGAAGCCGACGATACACTTGCAGATAGAACCAACCTATCCGTTGACCAAGTTTGTGAGCTACTAGAACTCTGCTTAGGATGCACATACTTTACCTACAAAGGACAGTTCTACCAACAAATGCACGGCTGTGCTATGGGATCACCAGTCTCACCAATTGTTGTAAACCTGTACATGGAGAAGTTTGAAAACAAAGCCCTCAGCACTTTCAATGACACTCCCCCGGCCAACTGGTTTCGATATGTAGATGACACTTGGTGCAGATTGAAAAAGAGGGTAGCTGCTGATTTCTTTGACCACATCAACCAGATAGATGACAACATCAGATAGATGACAACATCAGTTCACACAGGAGCCAAGTCATGACAACATGCTCCCTTTCCTAGACACCAAAACTATCGTAGAGGAAGATGGTAACCTTCGTTTCGAAGTGTACAGGAAACCAACCCACACTGATCAGTACCTGACCTTTGATTCCCACCACCCTTTGGAACACAAACTAGCAGTGATCAAAACTCTCTTCCATCGTGCAGACAACATTGTCACTTCAGACCAAGCCAAAACGAACATAGACACCTCCGAGGCGCCCTGGCTAAGTGTGGCTACCAAAACTGGACTTTCAACAAAGCGCTCAAACCTTCAGATCAGTCTAAGAAAACCCAGAAGTGCAAACCATTGACCAACAAAAACAAGACCAACATCACTATTCCGTATGTCCAAGGAGTATCTGAGAAACTCCGACGGATCTTCCAAAACTTCAACATAGCCACTAAATTCAAACCTCACTCAACCCTCAGACAAAGACTGGTACACCCCAAGGACCGACCTCACAAAGGTACCAAGGCGAATGTTATTTACAGACTCAAATGTGAAGAGCCCAATTGTAACAACACCTACATCGGAGAGACAAGTCGACCGCTCAAAGTAAGATACAAAGAACATTGCCGACCTAGTGCCAACGGCTACTCCTCAGCTATTTTCCACCACCTACAACACAACCAGGGTCACTCTTTCAAACTCGAGCCCACGGATATCTTAAACCGCGAAACACGCTGGTGGGAACGGGGTGTTAAAGAGGCAATATATGAAAGAATGTACAACCCCACCCTCAACAGGGAAGGGGGGCTACGAGTCGATCTTTCCGGCACTTGGGATTTGGCACTCCCAGCCCCGAGGACAGACAACACTTAAGCTCCTGTTCTGTATAACAGGAGCTTTCAGACTAATTTGCATCATTTTGTCTTGACTTGTCTGACTTTTGTTCCTTTTTCGACTTCCAAATATTTGTCTTCACTTTATTTGCATATCAATCAACAGGTTGTACTTATAAACCTGCTTTCCCCTCTGGTCTCTCAGTCACTGACGAAAGCTAGTGGATACTAGCTGAAACGTCTGACGTTTTCAAAATCATATCCAGTTGCTTGAGTAACTGTTTTTTGGCGAATTTCCCAACTTGATTGCGCTGCCACTAAGTCCTGTATTCTGTATGATTAATAAAAACATTGCTCACCTTTGATGGCAAGTGTTGACAGTCTAAGGTGTTCCATCGCAAACTAGATTTCCCAAACAACATACCTTCGCCAAATGATGTTAATCTTATGACTGACAATTTGCAGATTATTCCCCCTGATTGTGCAAACATGATCCTCATTTTCATGAATTATATCAATTTATCGTATTCTCAACCAAAAGACAGATATATTGACAAACAATGCCATTCTAGCATTTCCTCATAAATTTAGAAATGAGGTATCCTCTTTTGAATATTTTCAAACCTCTAGTTAATCAAGTAACATTTCTAAACTACCTTCGCCTCCGCAGGTAGAAATAATGGCGACAGAGGTGGACCAAATATCACTGATAGAAATGATACAGCAAGAAACCATAGAATGTCTGAGGAAGATCAATGAAACCTTTCAGCCTAATGGTAAGTGTATTTTCTATTGGGGGAGGGCTTACTTTAAATATCAGTAGGGCTACGGACACTACCTGTCGACCGACCTACAAGTAACGACCATCTCTCCTTGGCAGATTTTCAATGTTCAACATTCGGCTGACGTATATGGGGGGGGGGGTGAATTGTGCCTGAAGATTTTAGATTTGTATTTTCTACTTAAATTTCGCAGGATATAGTTGTAGTAATAGTTTTTACCTTAGCTTGTATTCACATGTGGCACCTAGAAAACACAGTTCAGATTACTGAATACTATACCGTCCCTGACTAAAAGTAGTGGACGCTACTTGAAACGTCCGACACACTCCAAATCAATTCAGTTACATGTTACTATACACCTGAAGTAGCAATTTTTTTCCGTCTGTATGAGTGTACATTTGTAGTGTGTGTGTGTGTGTGTGTGTGTGTGTGTGTGTGTGTGTGTGTGTGTGTGTGTGTGTGTGTGTGTGTGTGTGTGTGTGTGTATGTCTGTATGTATTGCGTGTGTGTGAGTGAGTGCGTGCGTGTGTGTTTGTGTGTGTGTGTATGTATGTGTGTGTGTATATGTGAGTGTGTGTGTGCGTGTGTGTGTGTGTGTGTGTGTGTGTGTGTGTGTGTGTGTGTGTGTGTGTGTGTATGTATGTATGTATGTATGTGTGTTTGTGAACTCTTTAAAATTTGTTAGTTTAACATGATCAACGTCTTGACGGATTGTTTACCAGTTCCACGAACGGCCTGTTCGCATGTCTGATCTAGAAAAAAACACCTTATTGAGCCGTAGTGTATGAGATGCTACTATGTAACCCGTATGTCCAGTTACAGGATACTGTCATGGCGGACCTGACTATCTCGGTTCCTGTTGGCCCAATGCTGCGCCTGGTCAAGTCGTGACGTTACCCTGTCCTCAGCACATCGCCTTCTTCAACCATTCCAGTAAGAATCTAGCTAACTCGACTGAGTATCATTTCTTTCTAAATCAACACACTCGCACATAAAGTAATCTCTATAGTGCCTCTATAACTGTAGCAATGCATGATTGCAATTACCTTTGGTACGTTGGTAGGCGCTGTGTGCCTTTGCGTTTGAGTGTTCATTAGCATGTTATTGTAGGATGTAGCATGTATTGTAGAATGCTTTTTAAAAAATAGCATCCATTTTTTGTATTGCTGAAATCATTGACCAGGAAATGGTGTCAAATATATGGTGTCCCTACCTATAAAACTAAACAAACCATGGTAATAAGACCCCAAACGGATGTACATGGCACGCAGATACTTTTACAGAAACTGTTCAGAATAACACCTACTATAACCAATAACAAGGTATGCTGTTGTTTTGTTTCCTTGTGATATTTTGATGAGGTCATGGCGGTATAGTTATAGCCTAATATATGACATTGAGGTATAGTTATAAGACATTTTTCACACTTGTTTGTCCATGTAGGAGTGGTGCAGCGCTTCTGTGGAAACGGAAGTTGGATCATGAACAGCCTGAATCAGACCGAAGACTACAGATCCAGCGGCTGTTATATTCCGGAAGACAAGCAGGACATGGTTGGTCTTCTCTTCTTCATAATCTTGTCCTCCTCTTGTTCTCTTTTAGAACAATTAAAAATTCTGTCTAGGCATCGATGAATGTATAATAGCTAGATTTTCATATTATTTGTTTGTGGCTGTACTAGACACATAAAACACCATTACTTTACCTCATTGTTGCAATGTGTATGTCTGCGTGTCTCTATAAAATAGAGAAAAAGAGTTCCACGATCTCATACCTTCGCCAAATGATATTAGCCTTTATGACTCAGAAATTATATATTAATCCCCGTGGTTAGGCAATTAGGATCCTAAATTGCATTAATTATATCTGTTGATCATATTCTACACAGGTATCTTAACGAAGAATGCCATTCTAGCATTTTCTCATAAATTATGCAAACGAGGTCGTTATTTGAATAGGTTATGTTCACCTTCATTTAACTTTCAAATACCCCAATTCCAGGCAGTTACCACTTTGGAATTATAAAGTTTTTCAGGTCAACATGGAATATCAATCTACATTTCATGTTGGTTACTGGTACAGGACTATTTATTGCGGTAAAATGTTCCCAAGGTCGCGTTGTTACCGGAGTAGTGTAAAAACTGTAATGATAATCTGCCGACTTCTCCTGCAGACGGACCTGTACACTGTACAGATCATCTACACAGTTGGATACTCCCTGTCCCTGGCGTCACTCACTGTTGCCGCGGGGATCCTCATCCGCTTCAGGTCAGCAAAATCTTTTTTAATCATCACAAAGCGTTATGTCTGGGCCTTGTAAATATTAGGAATGACATAGCCACGCTACATTGAACCAAATGTATAGACGATTCCTGAGTTACTCTGCACGGATGCTCTGGAACTACTTACAGCCACACATCAGGGCCGCCCACTCTATACGGAGTTTTGAAACATATATTTATCCATTTGTTAATTGTATTGTTAATAGTGTATGACTTGATTTATCACCTCTGCCCCCCCCCCCATTCACCGGACTTTTCTGCGACAATTCGTCCGCGACAAAACTCAGTTGGCCTTGTACCTGATTAGATATCCTTCTATCCTATATACGTGTGCAGCTATTTTAAAATTATACCCTAGAAGAGGCTGTCTAGTTGGTAACGTGAGGGTGTGCAACCTCTGAAAGAACCTCGAAATAAACTGGGTGTGCATGTGCCTGGAGGGATTTCCATGCTGTGCGCTTTAGCACCACGAGGCGGCATTCGGCAACTTCTCTCAGACTCCGCACTTCGGACGATCCAGAGAAAACATCCATACTAGTCTTGACGCTTCTAAGGAGAAATTCGGAATAATCTCACCTTAGTCTTACAATCGTGCAATTTTCTTGTCATTATGGTGGTGAAGACATATTGTTTTTCCTCATGTTTCTTCTTCTCCTCCAACAACAATTCATTATGATTTTTGGCATACTCTCCCTTAAACCTGTATAATTTGGGACTTGTTGAACGTTTTTAGTAAAGGGTTAATGCACCGCCCCGAGGTGTATATGGTGTCATAAATGCATGGTCAGCTGCTATAACCACCGAATAAACCACCGAGTGAGCGAAG